CTTCAGCAACACGCTACACAAGGCTGCTGTGTAAGCAGCCTTATATAGTGTGGAGCTTGGACTTAGCCGTGATCTATGATTAGCCATAGTCAACGTGACTTTGGCCAATCATGGCTCTCACAGTGCATTGTGCTGTGATTGGCCAAAGCATTGCACCTGACCTGTGGTGTGAGAGTGCAGTGCATTGTGGGGCAGCCCCGCCGAACGTCCTTACCTTTCATGTGTTCGGCGAACACACAAACAGCTGATCTTCGAGTCGAACTTACATTCGACTCGAACATTGAGCCCAGCACTATTGAACACATCAGTCTTTGAATACAACTAGGTACTGAAGCTAATCCACAAGGTACACACTTAACCACTTGCCCTCCAGAGGATTTACCCCCCTTCCTGACCAGGCCATTTTTGCGTTACTTTAACTGACAATTGTGCAGTCATGCAACGCTGCACCAAAATCAAATTTATGTCCTTTTTTTCCAACAAATAGAGCTTTCTTTTGGTGGTATTTATTATTTGCGATATAAACAAAAAAAGACCGACAATTTTGAGAAAAAAAATATTTTTGACTTTTTGCTATTAAACATGTAAAGTAAAAAAAATGTTATAAATCTAATTTCTTCATAAATTTAGGCAAAAATGTTTTCTGCTACATGTCTTTGCTAAAAAAAATGTGTAAATTAACTGGTTTACATGAAAGTTATAGCATCTCCAAATGGCGGTATATATACTGGCATTTTTTTTTTATACTACTAATGGCAGCGATCAGTGACTTATAGCGGGACTGTGGCGTGCATTTTGTCACTGCTATTCAGAGCAATACAAAGCAATGTGCAGGAGCTGACAGGAGAAATCTGTATTGTTTGTATACAGGTCTCTCCCCCATCAGTGATACTCAGCAATTGATGGGTGCCAGCGGGCAATCATCGGCCAGGACCCAGTGATCGACAGCTGAGACCACCAATATTGCACGTGCCCCCTACTCGGAAATCCAAAATCACAAATATATATATATACATATATATATATATATACTGTATATATATATATATATATATGTGTGTGTATGATTTTGCGCAGCCCTGCCGCCCTGTAGCAGTATTTCTGCTATAGGGCAGTGAGAAAACTGTTAAAAAGGAGCAGGCCCTCATGGGTTATAAATGCAGTAAGGTTTGATTTTTCATTATAAAGAAAAAACTGATAATGTGCACTTTGAAGATCCCCTATAGAAAAGAAAATACTTCCTCGATATTTGGAGGGAGTGACTATTAATAATAATGGTCATGAAGGTATCAGTCTAATAGTGTTATTTAATGACATCAACCAGGTCAGGCAAACAGTGTAGAGCAATTTGATGTTTACTGAATGCAGGGTGAATTGACAATACTGATAAATTGATGGGAAGGTATGTTGAACAAAGAATCACAGTCAATTAAGCTAACTCAGTAATAGTGATACTTAGGAATAGTTTCCACATATGACTACTAGATGGCAGCACAATAAAGTATACAGGAGTATCAGAAAAGCTCAAATGCAAATCAAATTGGGGTGCAGTTGCTGAAGAGCTTAGTAAATTAATGGAAGTTTAGTTGACTTCCATCATCCATTATGTGAAAGCAAAAAATGCTGTTTTTTTTTTTTTTTTACATTTTCCTTGCATGTGATTGAGTATTCTTGGGTATTCTTTGCAAAGCAAAGCTTCACCTCATTTACTAAGCTCTGGAGCAACTGCACTTGTAAAGTGCACAGTCTATTTGCTTTTATTAAATCCACCCCATGGTGTAGCACAGATACAATTACTTGTAGTTTCCTGGAAATGGATTTGTAACACCTCTCTTGCTAAGAGGCTGACTGTAGCTGTCTGTTCAGGTAGTCCCAGAAAGGTTCCACAAAGGCAAGGCTGGATGGTTCTTTGGTCTGCAGGTTTAGGTGACCGAAAGCAATGCCACCGTACTGGAAAGTCAGTATTCCAGAACCACTACACACCGTTTCCACTATGACTGGGGGTTATAAGGAAGTTGCATGCCTTTGCGCTCATGCCAGATATAATACTGGCTCAGGTCAGGTCACTGCTGTCCCAGCAGATGGCAGGGATCAGTGTAATTTATTACTCTTGGCAGTGTCCATGAATCATTGGTCCATTGATTTTTGTGGGGAAAAGAATTACAGGGACCTGTCCCCACTGCTGAACAAGGTTGTTAAAGAGGAACTACATTATAATACCTCCTACTTTCCACAGTAGGAGATACCCATTCAGATGCATTAATTTTTTTCAATCACATCTTGTTCCAGTTATTTCTCAAGCTCTTTGGAGACAGCTTTTCTTACATGTTACTCTTCTTGCATGTATGGCACTGTGCATCTTTTTGCATGGCAGGCAACATACACTAAATTTCCAAAAGTATTGGGACACCCCTCCAAATCATTGGATTCAGGTGTTCCAATCACCTCCATGGCCACAGATGTATAAAATGAAGCACCTAGGCATGCAGACTGCTTCTACAAACATTTGGGAAAGAATGGGTTGCTTTCAGGAGCTCAGTGAATTCAAGCGTGGTACCGTGATAGGTTGCCATCTGTGCAATAAGTCCATCCGTGAAAATTCCTTGCTATAAATATTCCACAGTCAACTGTTAGTGGAATTATAACTAATTGGAAGCAACTGGAAACAACAGCAACTCAGCCATGAAGTGGTAGGCTACGTAAAATGACAGAGTGCACAGTGTGCAGAAGTTGCCAACTGTCTGCAGAGTCAATACCTACAGACCTCCGAACTTCATGTGGCCTTCAGATTAGCACAACAACAGTGCGTAGAGCACTTCATGGAATGGGTTTCCATGGCAAAGCAGCTGCATCCAAGCCTTACATCACCAAGTGCAATCCAAAGAGCTGGTGCAGTGGTATAAAGCACACTGCCAGTGGACTGTAAAGTTTGATGGAGGGGGATTATGGAGTGGGGTTGTTTTCCAGGGGTTGGGCTTGGCCCCTAAGTTCCAGTGAAGGGAACTCTTAAGGCGTCAGCATATCAAGACATTTTGGACAATTTCATGCTCCCAACTGGGAAGAGTTTGGGGATGGCCCCTTCCTGTTCCAACTTGACTGCACACCAGTGCACACAGCAAGGTCCATAAAGACATGGATGAGCAAGTTTGGGGTGGAGGAACTTGACTGGTCTGCACAGAGTCCTGACCACAACCTGATAGAACACCTTTGGGATGAATTAGAGTGGAGACTGCGAGCCAGGCCTTCTTGTCCAACATCACTGCCTGACCTCACAAATGCGCTTCTGGAAGAATGGTCAGACATTTCCATAGACACACTCCTAAACCTTGTGGACATCATTCCCAGAAGAGTTAAAGCTGTTATAGCTGCAAAGGGTGGGCCAACTCAATATTGAACTCTACAGACTAAGAGTAAGATGTCATTAAAGTTCATGTGCATGTAAAGGCAGGCTTCCCAATACTTTTGGAAATATAGTGTAGTTTGCAATGTGCTGTGTTGAACCACACTTGAAGTAGTACTTGTTCTGTGTATGTGCAGTTCTGCATTGTAGTTTAGTTAAATCTCTTGTGCCTTTGTACTAGGCCTGAATATGGGAACGCCAGGGCCTGGTTGCAAGTATGACCTTTATGACCCTTGTAGTTCTGCCATTGGTGTCAGTATTTTTGTTATTTTATTGTTTTACCTTTTTTTTTTACAATATACAATTATTTTGAAATTATATTTTTTTTACAGTTTTTTAGGAGCCTCGTTGGTGGGACTTTGGTGAGATATCAGGGGTCTAAACAGACTGATCTCCCCACTGGCACAGTGAAAGAGAAGTGCAGAAGCACTTCTCTTATAGCAAAGATGGTCAGAGGGAGATTTTTCCCATCTCGCTGTTGGCACACAGAGCAATGCCAGAGATTTTTTTTCTTAGAGAATAGAGGCAAGGGCTCAAGCATACCCTCCATTGTGGGGGGAGAGCATGCCGCAACAAATGGTGAATGTAACCAAATGACACTAACAGTGGGAGGGTCTTAAAAGGGCATTTTTAAATACCTGGAATGCCCTACTACATACACAGTTCAGCGTTCAGGCGTGCATTACGCACAGAATATAGAGTTGCCAACAGCTCAAATAGCATTTAGCAAGTCACTGTTGAGTGTGATTTATGTGGGGGCATTCATTTAGGTATGAACTGTAAAGTGGCATTTGCAGGAAAGGAGTGAAGTGTGTATGGTAGTATGAGCACAGAGGGAATTATGGACAGTAGTATGTGCAGGAAAGAAGTAAGGAGAGTGTAACGCTGGCCAGCATATGCATGAGAGAAGTGCAGAGTGTATGAAGGACGACCGGTAAGATGTACTGAGAGAAGAGCGCAGAGTTTAAAACAGAGGGTAGGATGTACAGGAGAGGAGTGCAGAGTGTATGACAGAGGGTAGGATATACAGGAGAGGAGTGTGGAGTGTATGAAGGTGGGTAGGATGTACAGGAGAGGAGTGCAGAATGTATGACAGAGGGTAGGATATACAGGAGAGGAGTGTGGAGTGTATGAAGGTGTGTAGGATGTACAGGAGAGGGGTGCAGAGTTTATGATGGTAGGTAGGATGTACAGGAGAGGAGTGCGGAGTGTATGACGGAGGGTAGGATATACAGAAGAGGGGTGCGGAGTGCATGACAGTGGGTAGGATGCACAGGAGAGGAGTGTGGACTGCATGACAGTGGGTAGGATGTACAGGAGAGGAGTGTGTGGAGTGTATGAAGGTGGGTAGGATGTACAGGAGAGGAGTGTGGAGTGTATGAAGGTGGGTAGGGTGTACAGGAGAGGGGTGCAGAGTTTATGACAGTGGGTAGGATGTACAGGAGAGGAGTGCGGAGTGTATGACAGAGGGTAGGATATACAGGAGAGGAGTGCAGAGTGTATGACAGAGGGTAGGATATACAGGAGAGGAGTGCAGAGTGTATGACGGAGGGTAGGATGTACAGGAGAGGAGTGCAGAGTGTATGAAGGTAGGTAGGATGTACAGGAGAGGGGTGCAGAGTGTATGACAGAGGGTAGGATGTACAGGAGAGGAGCGCAGAGTGTATGACAGAGAGTAGGATATACAGGAGAGGAGTGTGGAGTGTATGAAGGTGGGTAGGATGTACAGGAGAGGAGTGTAGAGTTTATGACAGTGGATAGGATGTACAGGAGAGGAGTGGAGTGTGACGGAGAGTTTATGCATGACAGTGGGTAGGATGTACACAGTGTGTGGGAGAAGGTAGGATGTACGTGCGGAGTGTATGACAGAGGGTAGGATATACAGGAGAGGAGTGCGGAGTGTATGACGGAAGGTAGGATATACAGGAGAGGGGTGCGGAGTGCATGACAGTGGGTAGGATGCACAGGAGAGGAGTGTGGAGTGTATGAAGGTGGGTAGGATGTACAGGAGAGGAGTGCAGAGTGTATGACAGAGGGTAGGATATACAGGAGAGGAGTGTGGAGTGTATGAAGGTGGGTAGGGTGTACAGGAGAGGGGTGCAGAGTATATGAGTGTGGGTAGGATGTACAGGAGAGGAGCGCAGAGTGTATGACAGAGGGTAGGATATACTGAAGAGGAGTGTGGAGTGTATGAAGGTGGGTAGGATGTACAGGAGAGGAGTGCAGAGTGTATGACGGAGGGTAGGATATACAGGAGAGGAGTGCGGAGTGTATGACAGAAGGTAGGATATACAGGAGAGGAGTGTGGAGTGTATGAAGGTGGGTAGGATGTACAGGAGAGGGGTGCAGAGTTTATGACAGTGGGTAGGATGTACAGGAGAGGAGTGCGGAGTGTATGACGAAGGGTAGGATATACAGGAGAGGAGTGTGGAGTGTATGACGGAGGGTAGGATATACAGGAGAGGAGTACGGAGTGCATGACAGTGGGTAGGATGCACAGGAGAGGAGTGTGGAGTGCATGACAGTGGGTATGATGTACAGGAGAGGAGTGTGGAGTGCATGGCAGTGGATATGATGTACAGGAGAGGAGTGTGGAGTGCATGGCAGTGGGTATGGTGTACAGGAGAGGAGTGTGGAGTGCATGGCAGTGGGTATGGTGTACAGGAGAGGAGTGCGGAGTGTATGAAGTGTGTAGGATGTACAGCAGAGGTGTGCAGAGTTTATGACGGCAGGTAGGATGACCAGTAGAGGAATGCAGAGTGTATGACGGAGGGTAGGATGTACAGGAGAGGAGTGCGGAGTGTATGACGGAGGGTAGGATGTACCGGAGAGGAGTGTGGAGTGTATGAAGGTAGGTAGGATGTACAGGAGAGGAGTGTAGAGTGTATGATGGTGGGTAGGATGTACAGGAGAAGAGTGTATGATGGCATGAAGGTACATGGTGTGAATGAGTCAATGCTCCATCACTGCAAGGCCACTGCGTCATAATGCAAAAGGCAGCAACTGATGTTAGCTGCAGACAAACACCTTCCTACCCCCTTCCTACATACTCCTTCACCTCCCTTCTGTGTCTCCTCGCCAGCTTACCTTCCCATACACATCCTGGAAAGAAGTACTGTAGTTTTCAACTCTACCAGCAGGATTTCCAAGACTGGGCAGTGATCTTTCTTCAGTGTCTGCACATATGAGGAACAGCAGCCGGCAGTATAGGTGGCTCTACCTCCACCGCTGAGCTCGCTCGGCGGCTGGCACTAGATCACACTTATTGAGATCACCGCAGAGTTCTGGAGAAGGAGGGAGGATTCTGTGCAAAGCGAAGGTTCGTGGAGATGCCGAGGGTGGAGCACTGTCACTTGTAGACACAGAGGCTGAGTCTCTGTGTTTACAAGTGACACTAGAGACCGGCAAGCACAGGAACGACACAGGGGGTTGCGGAACTCTGTTCTGCAGCGGAAGGAAGCTGGAGGACAGATTGATTCCTCTACATGCAGGCGCCCCTGCCGCTCCTCCTAATCAGGTGTACAGGGGGGCTACAGGGCCCCCCCTGCAGCATTGGACCAAGTTGCAATTGAGACTCCTGCGACCCCTGTAGCTACGCCGCTGTCTGCGGATGAGGTTGGTGATGTAGCTAGGGGCAGTGTTTTGGATGGCTTTGTATGTTGTGATTAGTATTTTGAATTTTATACGCTAGGTTAGTGGAAGCCAGTGAAGGGATTGGCAGAGAGGGGCAGCAGTCGCTGATCGGTTGGTAAGGTGTATGAGTCTAGCAGCAGCATTCATAATAGACTGAAGGGGGGATAACCTATGTAACTGTAGGCCAGTTAATTTGCTGTCTCACAGCAAAGCTCTGCGGTCAGCCTACAAGTCCATGAAGCTTTTCACCCAAGTGTGTGTGCTACTGAGTTGCAGAACACTGCTACTTTGTGTCTCTTTTAACTTCCTGCAGTCTGAATAATAGTAGGCTATTACATACTGTATGCAATCCTCAGACTTAAAAACCCAAGCATTAAAAAGCATTGCAGGCTCAAAGGGGTGTGGAAAGAAGGGTGCATACTGCTATAGCGATTGACAAGACATTCCCATCACCAATCCTGTTGTGTCCTGTAGTCTGGGAGGCAGAGAAGTTATATTAATAAAGTCAGGCTTCCATAATACACATGTAGGCTTCTGAGTATCACATACCAGGAGCTGGAACAAATGTGTACAGATTATAGAAGGTATAATACATACAACAACTATAAAAAGTGACACCTATAGGTCAGAGGTATGAACATCATATTAGCAATAAACAGGAGTCAAAATGTATAGTCCTGACCATTACAGTGTCAGCTCAAAATGTTCATAATAAAAATTATTTTACATATAATGTGTTTTTGTTTCTAGTACTTCTGCTCCATCTGTAAATACAAACTGTGAAAAGGGAATTCTGGGTTATTTTGTTGTATCATATGTTGTATGCTCTAGTGCAGTGATGGCGAACCTTTTTGAGCCCGAGTGCCCAAACTGCAACCCAAAACCAACTTATTTCTTTCAAAGTGCCAACACTGCAATGAAACCTGAATATCGAGCTTTTGGTTTAGAAAAAACAACTCGTACAGTAGTGCAAACTAATTAACAGTACAGGGATGACCAGAGACTGCGGACACAGTACAGGGATGACCAGAGACTGCGGACACAGTACAGGGATGACCAGAGACTGCGGACACAGTACAGGGATGACCAGAGACTGCGGACACAGTACAGGGATGACCAGAGACTGCGGACACAGTACAGGAGATGACCAGAGACTGCGGACAGTACAGGGATGACCAGAACTGCGGACAGTACAGGGATGACCAGAGACTGCGGACACAGTACAGGGATGACCAGAGACTGCGGACAGTACAGGGATGACCAGAGACTGCGGACACAGTACAGGAGATGACCAGAGACTGGGGACACAGTACAGGGATGACCAGAGACTGCGGACAGCACAGGGATGACCAGAGACTGCGGACAGCACAGGGATGACCAGAGACTGCGGACAGCACAGGGATGACCAGAGACTGCGGACAGCACAGGGATGACCAGAGACTGCGGACAGCACAGGGATGACCAGAGACTGCGGACAGCACAGGGATGACCAGAGACTGCGGACAGCACAGGGATGACCAGAGACTGCGGACAGCACAGGGATGACCAGAGACTGCGGACAGCACAGGGATGACCAGAGACTGCGGACAGCACAGGGATGACCAGAGACTGCGGACAGCACAGGGATGACCAGAGACTGCGGACAGCACAGAGATGACCAGAGACTGCGGACAGCACAGGGATGACCAGAGACTGCGGACAGCACAGGGATGACCAGAGACTGCGGACAACACAGGGATGACCAGAGACTGCGGACAACACAGGGATGACCAGAGACTGCGGACAGCACAGGGATGACCAGAGACTGCGGACAGCACAGGGATGACCAGAGACTGCGGACAGCACAGGGATGACCAGAGACTGCGGACAGCACAGGGATGACCAGAGACTGCGGACAGCACAGGGATGACCAGAGACTGCGGACAGCACAGGGATGACCAGAGACTGCGGACAGCACAGGGATGACCAGAGACTGCGGACAGTACAGAGATGACCAGAGACTGCTGACCTTTGGGGAGGGAGGGGGAGCGGGTACCTGAATTTGACAGGTACCCGCTCTTACTTCCGCAGAGTTTTTTTTTTTTATCTTACCTGTTCCTCGATCCAGCCGCGCGCTGTCTTTCCGGCTTCTGTAGTGTGGGCGCTCGTCGGACAGCCGGATGCCCAGTGCGCATGCGCGAGAAGCGCTGCGCTTTGTGATTGGTCCGGCGGCTTCTGGGATCTGTCATGTGTCCCAGGTACCGCCTTACCATTCACAAACAGCACTGCTTCTTGTGCATGCGCACTTGGGACCCGGCTGTCACGCACACTACAGCCGGGAAGACAGCGCGCCGCTGGATTCTCCTGGCGTGCCCACAGATAAGGCTCGGCGTGCCGGCTGTGGCACGCGTGCCACGGGTTCGCCATCACTGCTCTAGTGTTTTAATAGTTGAAAAAAAAAACCTTATGGCCTAACATCATTTCATTTTTCAGATCTCCAAAACCTTTTTCATATACAAAATGAAAAGCATATCTGTCCATATATAATACAATAACATGCCCTATCTGCCCTAAAAAATATCATATTTCATGAGATACACTAAAAAATAAGTGGCAGTTGCTGAACTGTCACATCTCCTAAAGATGTATAATAGTGCAAGGAATTAAGTGCTTAGTTACCCTTATTAAAGAAGGGCTTCGCCAAGACTTACTGACATTAAAGACAACCAGCAAACCATAAATACAGTGCTATTTATGGAAATCAATAACAAATTCTGCCACCTATCCTGTCTAAAGTTTATGGAGTCATCAAGCCTTTAACAGTCAGGCACCTTTAAAAAGTAAAATTCCAGTCAAACAGCTAAATACACAGATAAAATACACATATGGAATATGTTTTACCTGCGAAATGATTTGCATTTCTGTCCATCCAGTTCTGAGAGTTACATAGCTCTGACCCATAGCACAGCCCTGTCTGGAAAGGAAGGAGATATGATTTTTCTCTGCTGCAGTTCTGTAAGTCCTCTTGCATACGGGCATAATAATTTACTGATGTTTAGATGCACCATCTTGTTAGAGGCCAGTATTTCAATTTACACGTATACACTTGTATATAATGTACTTGCGTGTATATATGTAAAGTACTGGACTTAAACATAAGAATTTCTATTTTTTATGGCTCCAAATGCATTGCTGCATTATGGATCTTTGCAATGCTTCTGTGTTGAGAAAAAAAAAAAAAACCTACATGGCTACAAATCCTGTATTTTTTTATCCATGTGCAAGTGACCTAACACAGGTTTTTCCCTTTCCCAGAGTAGATAGTGAAAGACACACATACGAATAGGTATCGGCTCTGAGGAAGAGGCGTAGCCGCGAAACACATTAGCAATTTGGAGGTCTATAGTCCCCTACAAGACACCTTCCAGGGAGATTGGACCATGCTGTATTTCTTATGATGTGCCTTTGATTTTTATCCCTTTGTGAGTATATCACTTTTTATACAGTAAACCAATTTTTTAAAGGTAATGCATTAGGCCCGTGCACCCTCTGTTTGTTTCTTTGCATGCAGTTAATTTTAATTCCCCTGGTCCGTTGAGGGCAGCAAGGCATGCCTTCCATAGGCAACCTATGTGTGGTTACAGTTACTGTGGAGTTCATTATCCAGCGCAGGAGTCAAAGCATCTGCTTGTTTTTCTTCAAGTTAGATAGTAAAAGAAGCTGAGCACTGTAGAACTGCTGAATCACCTAATTTAGGAGCTTGACATGTTTGGTATCTATTTGCTCAACAAAAAGTTTTTAAATGAAGAAAAAAAGAAAATGGGTATTATATTTAGTTTGTGTGCATTAAAATTATTTGAGTGTATTTCTAACCAAACATATTGATTTGATATACAGTTACGCTAATATTGTGTAAAAAATTGTAATGGCCACTATTTTGTTCTACAGAGTCTCTTCTTTTTATAAAATATAACATTTTAAGGGTTTTAAAAGTAGGGTTTAGGCTTAAAATGTTCACTTTAGTATGTGAGCAAAAAAATAAAAAATATAAAAATAAGGCTCTGGCAGCAAAAGAATACTGCAGTGCTACTGGGTACCTACAAACTACTACTGTGCTACATATACAGGTGATAAAAATGCCATGCCATCTGATTCTGTGCATCCTCATATAAACCACTTGTGATTTATCTACTCATCAGTGTTGGTTTACTAAGACTCCGTTCACACCAATGCAGTTTACATTTTATCCGTTTTGCAGTGCTTTTTGCAGTTCCTTTTGCATTTTTCTACACGCATTTTTGATGCGTTTTTACCAATTTTCGTTTTGTTCAGATTTTTTTTTATTTTAAAGTGGAATTTTTTTTTGGGCTGGGCAGAATAAAAATGCAAAACACGGCAAAAATGTGGCAAAAATGCACTACCATGCATTTCAGCAGATTCTCAGTTGAACTGTATTGTAGCAAAAACTTTTAAAAAAGTCCCTGACCCTTTCCAAAAATGCAGCGGCTCAAAAAAGCATAGATGTGAACAAGTTCCATAGGAAACCATGTTAAATGGACTGTAGTGCTTTCTGCAAAAAGCTCAAAAAAACAAACGCATTGGTGTGAATGGAGCCTTAAACAGGAGAGTGCAAAATCTGGTGCAGCTGTGCATGTAAACCAATCAGCTTCTAACTTCAGCTTGTTCAATTAAACTTTGACAAAAAACCTGGAAGCTGATTGGTTTCTATGCAGAGCTACACCAAATTTTGCACTCTCCAGTTTTTAGTAAATCAACCCCATTGTCTATAATGTGCGTAAATAAAACTGTACACATTAAAAAATGCCACTGAATACCCTGTCCGTGCTGACATGAAAATTATATTGCTTTGTTAAAAAACACAGAGTTAGGGTTAGCATTAGAGTTATTGTTAAGGTTAGGGTTAGCATTAGAGTTATTGTTAAGGTTAGGGTTAGCTTTAGGGTTGGATTTATTTATCAACAGAGGTATTGATATTGATCTTACCAGATCAGTGATGCCACATGATTTTCTTAGATTTAAAGTGATTGTTAAGGTTAGGGTTAGTATCTAGTTACTTTACATAAATAAACACAAATAATCAAGTGGCTCTGTAACCAATTAGTGAATGAAACACATTATACAGTGATAAGGTGAAGTAAAATGAAACAGTTATATAATGTAAATCAATCCATTAATGTGAACATAAAGTCCATAATAATATGTAGAAGTCACATCCAGTGCTGTAATCTTCCTATTACTCAGTTCCCCAAACCAAAACACCACGTGCTCGTGATATAGCCTTCCCTTTTGGGTATGCACTCACCAAACCCACATGCCTCCCTCTCTCATGGTTGGCATGTATCGCTTTTAAATCTCTGATTATGGTGTTGCCATGACTTCATACTCTCCTTACTCCTCTCCACCAGATGTCATGATCATCATCAGGATCCCTCCCTATGACTAAATCTAAGTCGGAAGTGATGAAACGCGTCAGAGTGAGGCTGTGCGGTGACTGGAAGTGACGTTAGGGACTGGAAGTGACACGGGAGTGCCATTTTGTGGGGCCTGGCGGTGGTGAGAACACGATATCTACATCTAATGTCATATGGATTATAATGAGCATTTTTTTCTATTTTTATTTGTGAGTGGCTTTTGAAAACTATTCAGTAAAGCAGAAAGTATTGGCTATTGTACCACTGGAGTATATCTCTTACTTTTACATGATCATGACATCTGGTGGAGAGGAGAAAGAAGAGTATGAAGTCATAATTGGAGATTTAAAAGCAATTCATGGGAGTGGGAGGCATGTGAGTTTGGTGAGTGCATACCAGGGGCGGACTGACAACTCATGGGGCCCCAGGCAATAGGGGATCATGGGGCCCCTGTGTCCTTGCCCAAACTCAAAAAAGCCTATGAAAAAGGTACCAGGGGCATCTCATGGGGCCCCCTACTGACCCCGGGCCCTCGGGCAGTGCCCGAGTTTCCAAATGGTCAGTCTGCCCCTGGTGCATACCCTAAATGGAAGGCTATATCACGAGCACGTGGTGTTTTGGTTTGGGGATACTGAGTAATAGGAAGAATTCAGCACTGGAAGTGACTTCTGCATGTTATTATGTACTTTATGTTCACATTAATGGATTGATTTACATTATATAACTGTTTCATTTTACTTCACTTTGTCACTGTATAATGTGTTTCATTCATTAACTGGTTAGATTGCCACTTGATTATTCGTGCACAAGTGTGGACTGCAGGAGAGAGCAGCTCTGTGTCTGTACACGAGAAGTCACAGTGCTGGCCACGCCCCCTGCACTGACCAGATCTGCTGCTATCTGCCCTGTGCCTCCCTCCCATTGGATTATTCAGGAAAGATTAACCCCTTCTACCATTAGAAGCACAGACTCAGGGCTGAGGCTTACACATACAGCATGCTGCTGAGTATCCCAGTAGTCAGACATGTCACTCAGAGCAGCACTTGTATTCACCCCCTTTGCAGGGGAGAGATTGTTTACCTGCAAATAACAACAAAGGGCCAGAAGAGAACTAGGAAATGAGGAAATAGAATTTTTTTTCCCTAAAACTTGCTTAGCTTATGTTTATATTGCTGACCATCAGATTTACAGTGCTATATTTTTTTTTACATAACTCAGACAACCCCTTTAACTAGTTGCCGACCGCAGATAGCCGAATGACGGCTTCACTGCGGCCGGCCAGTTCTGGATGGACGTCATATGACGTCCCCCCAGAACGCGCTCTCCTGCGTGCCCCAGGGGGCGCGCACCCGGCGATCTCCGTGATCGCTGTGTCCTACGGACACAGCTGATCACGAGATGTGGTAAAAGGCCAATCATACCGGCCTTTTACCACGTGATCAGCGGTGTCCAATGACACGCTGATCACAGGGAAATGCAAGTGCCGGTTCTCGGCTGCACTTTCCTCACGCTGTCAGATCGTGAGGAAAGTACTGCCGAGAACCGGCAGTTGTCAGAGCGAGGATCGGCACCGATCATCAGGGCACTGATGATCAGTGCCCTGATGATCGGTGCCCAGCAGTGGCACCCACAAGTTCCGCCCACCTGTGCCCAGCAGTGCGCCCACTAGCTCCGCCCACCTGTGCCCAGCAGTGCACCCACCTGTGCCACTCTGCAGTGTCACACACCTGTGCCCAGAAGTGCCACCTACCTGTGCCCAGCAGTGCCACCCACCTGTGCCCACCCACCTGTGCCCACCAGTGCCACCCACCTGTGCCCACCAGTGCCACCCACCTGTGCCCACCCACCAGTGCTGCCCACCAGTGCCACCCACCAGTGCAGCCCAGCAGTGCTGCCAGTCAGTGCCACCAGTCAGTGCCCAGCGGTTGTGCCAGTCAGTGCCGCCAGTCAGTGCCCAGCAGTGATGCCAGTCAGTGCCATCTATCAGTACCCATCATCAGTGTCACCTATCAGTGCCGCCTATCAGTGCTGCATATTAGTGCCGCCTATCCGTGACACTTCATTAGTGCTGCCTATCAGTGCCGCCTATCCGTGCCACCTCATTAGTACTGCCTATCAGTGCCCTTTAGTGCTGCCTATCAGTGCCCATCAGTGCCGCCTATCAGTGCCCATCAGTGCTGCCTCATCAACGCACATCAGTGAAGGAGAAAAATTACCTGTTTGAAAAATTTTATAATAGAAACAAAGAAACTTTTTGGGTTTTTTTCAAATTTTTTGCACTTTTTTAATTTATAGCGCAAAAAGTAAAGCGCCCAGTGGCAATTAAATACCACCAAAAGAAAGCTCTATTTGTGAGAAAAAAATGATCAAAATTTCATATGGATACAATGTTGCATGACCGCGCAATTGTCAATCAAAGTGCGGCAGCGCCGAAAGCTGAAAATTGGCCTGGTAAGGAAGGGGGTATAAGTGCCTGGTAGGCAAGTGGTTAAGGTTTTTTGGCATTTTATATCTTAAATGCACTTATGTGAAATAATTAATAGTAATTTGGACTTTAAATTTGGTTAAAAACCCATAATATTAAAAAAATACCAAAAATTTAAAAATTTTTATAAATTTGAAGACAATTTTGCTTTTTGTGGCCAATCATGACGTCTAGGAGTTTTTCAATATTTTATTTGTTTTCAGCACACCAAAATACATGGAAATTACATGAAAATAATCAAACAGCTTTTTAGTCGCAGACCTGTGGTAAAGTTTATTTTATTTTATTTAAGGTGGCAGCAGTGTCCAACATTTGTTTATTGTCACTTATATGAGATTTACATGTTTTTGAGCACGTATTCAGCACAAGGATTTTTGTCATTAGTATCTGGTTACTGTTAGGACTGGCTTTATTTATTAAAAAAAAAAGCCATTGATTACACTGGGTCAGTGCTATCATGGTGATCTCACGCTTTTTTTAAGAAAACAAAGCAATATTTTTTTTTTGCAAGCAAGTTTTACCTAAACAGTTTCTATAGAGATATTTAAAGTGAATTTACACAAAATTTCCTGCCCAACCCTACTTCTTCTTACAGATCTATAATATCTTCTAACGGAAGCTGGACTATTTGAAAGGAGTAGAGCTTTTCTCAGCTTATGCCTCCATGAAAAAGTTTACTACAGCTTTACCTAAGCTTTCATCTTTCTTTTAGAGCTTTCTATTTAGCACTAAACACATTGAATATTCAGGAAAACTGTACAATGTATTAGACAACATGTAGGTTTTAACCATATTCATCTTTTGTAAAGTATTCTCAAGGAAGGCATAAAAATAATGTTTCCATGCTTTTATTAAGGCTGAAACAGTAACTAAATTCCTGAGCTCATTTTACCAGCTGTTTAATCTATCTAAATTTATAACAATACAGATTAGGCAGCTAGCATAAATATTACTACAGCAATTATTCAATGTGATTAATCACAATGGTTGGATCTCAATGACTCTGTGCTGTGACATCGAGAAAAATTTTATGTGTGCCGGACATCATCACATTAAAGATAATGTCCAGTTTTAGAGAAAAGGCTGTACTTACACAACACAAAGTTCGCACGTTGATTCGCAAGCCGCTTAATACTGCAAACCTACTATGCAAATGGTAGATAATTATGCTAATCTATCTGAGCTATATTGATATTTGGATTAGCACATGACCCAAATTGCTGCATTACACTGAAAAAAATGTTATTAAAAAGTTTGATAGTTGCCAGGCCCTGGTGCTTTACAAAGGAGAAAGTTTCTTCATACAAAGTAGATACTGGCAAATTCGTATGATAACGTTTCCACATTTCAGAAGAATGAAAAGTAAATCTTCTCATATACTGAACGTATACATCACCCTTGTCATTAATGCTGACCTTCTCCCTCCCCACCCACTTTCTGGTATTCCAATCCTACCCTCCTCCTCTTTAAAAATTAAAATTTTTCGTATTTATAATTCTTTTTTCATGGAACGCTCCCCACACTTTCTGGGTTCTTGCCAAAGCAATAATGAGGTATTTGTTGTCTGCATCCCCCAGGAATACCCACATCACACATCCTAGGATGCCCTGAAGTACTCTACAGTGCATGTACTATGGTGATAGTGCTTTATCAAGGGGGGTGGCTGCAAAAACCCAGATGCCCCCCTCATAAAGTAGAAAAAAAGACAATGGCATAGGGATTCTTGGGTGCGCAAGTATGTTTTTGCTGTATAACCCAGCAAAAAAAAGGGGTGGGGAGAAAAAACCAGGGGGGGCTGGGAGTGAAATTCCTATCTAACCACTAGCCTACTGGGCACTTATACCCCCTTCCTGCCCAGGCCAATTTTTAGCTTTCAGTGCTGTCGCACTTTGAATGACAATTGCGCGGTCATGCAACACTGTGCTCATATGAATTTTTTTTGAGACAGATAGAGCTTTTTTTTGGTGTTATTTAATCACCTCTGGGCTTTTTATTTTTTGCTAAACAAGCAAAAAAACAACAGAAAATTTTGAAAAAAATGAGTTTTTCTTAGTTTTTTTTTTTACATTTTGTAAATAAGTGACTTTTCTCCTTCACTGATATACGCTAATTAGGCTGCAGTGATGGCCACTGATAGGTGGCACTGATGAGGAGGTACTGGTAGGTGGCACTGATGGGCATTGACAGGCATCACTGATGGGCACTGAAAGGCAGCACTCACATATGGCACTGATAGGCGGCACTGATAGGTGGCACTGATAGGCAGTACTGACTGGCACTGATAGACGGCACGGATAGGCAGCACTGACGGGCACTGACAGGTGGCACTGATGCGCACTGATAGTCGACACCTGATGCTCAGTGTACATGTCCCCTCCAAGGAATGCCGATTACCGGCTCTCCTCTCCTCTCGAGCTGTCAGCGTGACAGCTCGTGAGGAGAGAAATGCTGATAACCGGCATTTCCCTATTTACATGCGATCAGCTGTGATTGGACACAGCTGATCACATGACCGAGCCGAAATCTTCGGCTCTTTCCGTTGATTGGTGATCCGCTGTGTCCGAAGGACACAGCTCACCGCCGATCGCCGCGCTGCACGCTACCGGAGCTGCGCATGCGTGGTTAGAATGGGAGGACGTCATATGACGTACTCCCAGAACGAGAGAACCACCTTGCGCCTGTCATTGCCTTATATGGCGGGTGGGCGGCAGTTAAAGTGGGACTACACTGCATCTGAGTGCCACAAACCAAAAATGCTGTTTAATTCATACTCATATATATATTCATGTTCAAAGCAAATTCATCCATCCATCCATGTCTCTATGTTTTATTTTGCTGAGAAATCACTTTAACAACCCCCTCCCTAACATTTCTGGTCAAGGCCATCTTGAATAAGGCAGATGATTCATGTTGCATTTATTTCCATCTGCCCTTAGCTCAGGCATGGAGGCAGGAGGGTGTGCTTAGCTGAGCTCCTCCCCTCCTGAAGATTCCTGGGATGTCTATCTAATTTATCTAGAAAATAAATCAGGAAATAACTGAAGAAATGTAATTAAAAAGGTTAAAACAAGTATACAGTATATGATATACGTTCCTATCTGTTTACTAATGTAAGCAGCATAGGGATTAACTACCTGCCGACCGCAGATAGTCGAATGACGGCTGCACTGCGGCCAGGCCAGTTCTGAGTGGACGTCATATGACGTCCTCCCAGAACGCGCTCTCCTGCGCGCCCCAGGGGGCGCGCACCCGGCGATTTCACGTGATGTGGTAAAAGGCCAATCACAGCGGCCTTTTACCACGTGATCAGCGGTGTCCAATGACACGCTGATCAGAGGGAAATGCAAGTGCCGGTTCTCGGCTGCACTTTCCTCATGCTGTCCGATCGTGATGAAAGTACTGCCGAGAAACGGCAGTTGTCAGAGCGGGGATCGGCACCGATCATCAGGGTCACCTCATTAGTACTGCCTATCAGTGCCCTTTAGTGCTGCCTATCAGTGCCCCATCAGTGCCGCCTATCAGTGCCCATCAGTGCTGCCTCATCAATGCACATCAGTGAAGGAGAAAAAATGCCTGTTTGAAAAATTTTTATAATAGAAAACAAAAAAACTTTTTTTTTTTTCTCAAATTTTTTGCACTTTTTTTTATTTATAGCGCAAAAGGTAAAGTGCCCAGTGGCGATTTAAATACCACCAAAAGAAATCTCTATTTGTGAGAAAAAAATGATCAAAATTTCATATGGGTACAATGTTGCATGACCGCGCAATTGTCAATCAAAGTGCGGCAGCACTGAAAGCTGAAAATTGGCCTGGTAAATAAGGGGGTATAAGTGCCTGGTAGGCAAGTGGTTAAAAACAGTTTGTGCTGATTGAGAGAGTAAAGTTCTTTTTTTAAGTATCAAATTAGAGATGAGTGAATCGAACCAGGCGAAGTGGAATTCGTTTCGAATTTCAGGAAAAATTCGATTCGCGGCGAATCCGAATATTAGCATACTTCGGGTGGCGCATGGCGAATCGTATTTTTCCCGATCAGCCGGCAAAAGTGTCCCTGCAGAGAGCTCCGCTATTTCTGACAGTTCTCTGACAGTTCCTTTCACATGTACAGCGGTTGAAAACATTGTATCTAATTTGTTTCCATTTTAGGATTACAGATGTTTTTTATTCGGAAACAGATACAATGTCTTTTCATTTTATTTTCATTTTTCTCATTCCCTTTTTATTTTTTTCATTCTTCTT